TTTGCCTTGAGGGCAAGTTACATGAACTTCCCGATAAGATTAAATAATCGACTTAATCAATAAAAAATAAATTAATTTTTGAGCCATTAAAAGTATTCCGAGTGGATTTATTGCATATAATTGAAAACGAAAAAAATAATAATAAAAATCGTCGATTTTTTTTAAAAAAAAAACTTTATTACAAGAAAACGGCCCGGCCCATCTTCACCAAAAACTAATCAGCACGATTCCCAACCAATATCTTTCGAACGGTTTTTGAATTTTCAAAATCGAGCCAAAACGTGGACGAAAAATTTTCCACTTTTCTGCGATTTACAAAGAAACGGCTCGGCCGATCGCACGAAACTCAGAAACGCTAGTCCTCATCGAAATACATCGAATGGCTATTAAATTTTTGAAATCGGCCCAACCGTTTTTGAGAAAACGTCGATTTACGGCAAAAAATCTGTTCACATACACGCACACACACACACATACTTTTTCCAAATTGGTCTCATTCGATTCAGAATGCCTTGAAACGTCAAGAAAACATAAAATTAGCGAATCGGATTTTTTGATGAAAACATAAACTTCTCCTTCGGGAAGTTAATAAATTCTTTGATATATTATTGTGTTATAAGTGAATTTTTTTTACATATTTTCTATTAGTAAATGATAAATAAATTACTTTACAAGTTGGTATATATTGAATAGCACAATTGTATATCTTAAGATATAATATTCACCCCTGAAATAAAAAATAAAGGTTTATCAGAAAAAAGAGTGCGCGTGAGGTTCGCACGCGATTCAAGCAAAACTTTTTGTCACTGTACAAGATGGCATTCAAGTTTAAAATAAATACTTTAAAATAATATAATTTTGAATAATGTTTATTAGTAATATGGTAATACTTGTGATGCACACATTTATTAATGTCAACCATCAGTGGCGTCGGAACCGTGTGGGCTTGAGCATGGCTTGAGCCCACTCATGAATTTTGATGGGTGGAATTAAGATGATAAAATGTGTGATTTTGTTTCCATAAATGACGAAAGAATACGTGTTTTTAGTCGAGTTTAGACTTACAGTCAGTCAAGTAAGAGCGTGGTTGGTTGTATTAATTTATAAAAAAGATTATGATTAATGATTAATTTTATGAAACTTTAATATTTATATATGCATTGTACACCTTGCAAGCAATGTTGCAATTGATCAATATGTCTTTGTCACCACCGGAGTCGACAATTGGCTGGCATCTTCGACGCATGCTTTTTACTAATTTAGAATATGAGTTCCAGTTTGAGGGCTCATATTCTAATTTAAGGTCTGCGTAGGACAGTACGTGCCCATATAGAACATTCATCAGTAAAAATGTCATTTTCAAAATCTCTATCAATATTTTCATGTGCCCAAGCGGAAGAAAGAGCACATGTTTTTCAGTCGTCAGAGGATTCCCCATTGTGTTGCGCCATTTCAGATCATGAACACGAAGAAGGGTTCGGATAGTTTTGTAGGTATTTCAAAACATTTTGCCATTAATTTTGCTCGTACTTGCCGCTGTGTCAAAGCAGGAATCCTCGAAAACACATTCACTGTTCTTTTTTCTTCCTTTTTATTAACAAAATTGAATTTATTTTAATAAAGCTCAAATTGATTCTACGTTTTAGTTAGAAAACGTTTGTATGTGAAAAAGAAAAGGGCTGTTTTTAGGGTTTTCCCGGCAATTATTCGATTTTTTCTCGCCGTAAGAACCATCCTTGGACTTCAACGAACATTTTAAAAAAAGAATTGGCCAAATTGGTCTAGGCATTGTTGAGTTATGCGCTTACCAGCACATTTTGCGATCCATTTTTATATATAAGATTCATGGGATCGATAAAAATAAATATTTTATTTTATTTACAATCAACATTATGAGAATTTTTCTGTATTCAATATATTCCTATCTTATTTTATCCCATTAAAATTATTATTATTACTTATGGGCAATTCTGCTGTAACAAAGCTCATAACATAGCGTTGTCACGGCAACGTTATCTTATGCTTGTTCCTTGGTAGTGAAAACTGTGAAAATATATCTTCAAAGATTCTGTTATTATAGCATTCTTCCTTGCTTATTAACTTCTCGTAAAGCAAGTTATAGTAATCGCAAAAAAATCGAAAATGAAAATTTTTATATATCTTTATGTTTCAAAACCTTCTGAACATTTTGGCATACTTTAGAAAAAATGTATGTATGTGTGTGTGTATGTGTGTGTATGTGCGTGTGTATGTGTATGTGTGCGTGTATGTGTGTGTGCGGATACAAATTTTCGTCGACGACTTCACTTCACTTCACTTCGGGAACACAGATGAAGCGATTTGAATAATTCAAAAAACATTCGATTCATATTGATAAGGAGACGTGCTGATTAGTTTTCGGCAAAGGCAGGTCCAGCCTTTCCGAAGATATGGGGCAAAAAGTGCCAGAATCGGTAACTCAGTTGTTAAGAGAACGGAGCGCCCGATTTGAATAATTCAAAAAACATTTTACTTGTATTAACAAGATGAAGAACTGATCAAATTTTTATGAAGGCAGGTTTAGCGGTTTCGGAGATCTAATGAAAAAAATAAAAAAAATGCCATTTGGCGGTCAAAAATGATCATTAGGCATATGCACATCAATATTTTATAGAGATTTTAACAATAAGTATAAATTTGTTTGCATTCCTATGGGTTCCGTACCTATGTTTATGCGTTATTTCAGAATAAATTTTTCTTCAAAAAGTCTTTTTTTTTAAAAAAAAGTAAATTTTTGTCGAAAATTTATAGTTTCTGAAAAATCTAATTTGTTCAGAGTGATTTTTTTCCAAAAATGTTAATGTTTTTAAAAAGAAATAATTTTTGGCACGGGAAGTTCCAGCAATTTGCCAAGGCACGACGCCATGCACCACTAGTTTATTTATTTTTTTCACAATTTGATTCATTTTTTTCTAGCCTATTTCTTGCAAAGGACTTGGGTAGAAGTCGTGGCCAACCAGAGAATAGCCGAGGAGGAAAAACAATGTCGTGCTGAAAGAGAAGCGATTCTCGAAGAATTTTATGAACTCAGAGATAAAGTTTGCGAATTGTTTGACATCAATCTAGAGTTACCGGAGGAAGAAGTCTTACCCATTCAGGTACATCTTAATAATAATTTAATTATTTACAATTTTGGACGTTTACCATAAATGGAACTAGATGCGTCAAATTACACTGCGCGACACTAAAATTTTTCCAGAGATGCTATGAAGTAATTCATGGACGCTGATTCCGAAAATAGTAACAAAAATTTACTAAAAACTCTAGTTTCTAAGATATGCCAATGTGCTAGTTTTACCTCAAATACAATAAAATATACAACA